CAAATGAACCAATTATCCAAAAAAACATTGCTTTAATTTCACAAATTAGATTGAAAACATCAGATCACTATTGGAATTAATTGATCTTTCTAGAAGCCTTCATAGCACTGCTACAAAATTAGCAACAGCAAACTGTTTATAAAATTCTTCTGCTTTTAGTACCAACACATTGTTAATGTTTCCTCCAGTTTTTGGTACAGGAACACAAAAACTTGAAATAAAAAATTGGCAGTCAATTTAGAATACCATTCTGAATGTTATGTAAGCACCTTCTGCAGCTGCATGTGATAAATCATAAACTACAAGGACAGGGTTCTCAAAATAGTGACTAATTTTTGATGTGGATTATAATGCTTCTTCAGCAAATTTGTGTTCTTGGGTTTTTCACTTGGTAATTGATATTACTTTGTCCCCAGTGGCTGTAGGGGTGAGATGGGTAACAAATGATGTCATTTTGTGCAACTTTTTTAAAACTTTTATTTGTCTTTTCATTTTTTATGTGGTGCTGAGGATCGAACCCAGGGCCTCATATGTGCTAGGCGAGTGCTCTACCAGTGAGCCACAACCCCAGCTCCTCATTTTGTGCAATTTAACATTCATCGTTAACTTGTTTGAGTCAGAAATTTAGTATTTAATACATTTTTACTAAGTATGTTTTTTCATTTTTTTAGTTCATTGCTGTTAAAAGGATTTATTGCAAAATACAAAAGCATCACCAAACAAGAACTTAACATTTGTAGATGCACATAATAGAGAAAAAATGGCCAAATTATCACGGCACAGATGTTGTTAGCCAGCTTTCCTTTACTGTTACAAGTATCCGAGATAAATCAACTTATGAAGAGGAAAGGTTTATTTTGTTCACAGATTCAGAGGATTCTATGGTTACTTGACCCTGTTGATTTTGCAGAATATCATGGTGGGAGTGCAAGGTGGAGGACATTACTCACCTCATGGAAGTCTGAAAGCCGGGTGGGAGGAGCTGGGGTCCAACTATCCCCTCCAAGGGCATCTCCCCCTAACTTCCTTTGGCCAGGCCCCACTCCCTCAAGGTTTCACCACCTGCCAATTGTGCCCAGGCTTGCAACCAAGCCTTTAACACAAGGGCCCTTGGGGGATGTTAAAAATCCAAACTACAGCAGGCATCCAGACTGGTATCTCTCTTCTCTGCTATATATATCTCACATAACCCTAACCCATAATTAACCCATTTCCTACTGATCTCCCCTGCATTGGCAGTTTTGTCTCTTGTGGGCCCGAGCATGGGCCGTGGCACAGCTAGCTGGTAAATCCGAAGGATGCAGAGTGGCCGCCGTCAGAGAGTTCTCTCACCACCAGCAGAGTTTTCCTTAGACGTAGAACTGGAAGCCCTTATTTGAGGTTTGTTTTGCAAGCAAGTGCCCTTGAAATGGAGATGTGTTAGTTCTACTGTGTGTGGGAAGGAGTGGAGAAAGTAGAGATGGGTAACTGTTATTCATCTATGAGATTTTATCCTCATGTTGGAGGGATACCTTTGCTTACCAGTCACATGTCTTAATACTAGAGAAGACCATGGTGGAGCCTGGAAATACTAAACCAATCCCAGCTGATTTTAGTGCTGCTATGAATAACAATTCCCCAATAAGGAGAAAAAGATCCAGGGAAATGTTGAAAACCGGATGAGAAGGAAGGACAACAGGTTTCCTAAGACTATTCAGGACAAAAAAAAGACCCTAGCTACAAGGATAGCAATTATCTGAAAAGAAGTTATTGGGCAGGAACACCAGAGGGCGCTTCAGACTATAATTAATAATTCTGCTTTGGTTTACATGAGCACACTGTAAGGGATCGCTGTTCCAAATTTCAATAGTGAATGTTGTTTAAAAGCTTAGGTGAATCCACATCAAGTTGTTTTATCTAGCATTCAAGCAAATTTCAAAACAAGTGTTCTGGTGTCTTTTCTCTTTTGTCCACCCTGCTGGAGGGGACGTTATATTTCTGCTTTACTTCAGATTTATTTTCAAAATGACAGAAGGTTAGATAAAGGTAGGGTTGCAATCTGTTTCCGCTAATTGAGATTGTGTGTGTGTGTGTGTGTGTGTGTGTGTTTAGCCGACTAAAGTAACTGTGGCATTATCCTTCTTTAGAGATTAGCCCAGGGATAATGTTTTAGGTCCATGTAAGGCTCATTTTCTTCTAAGTATTGGTAGGCGAGGGCTGGTTCCTGAGGCAGGTATATTAGTCTTCAGGCAGCAGTGTGACACTGGAAGAAAGCCGCCTTCGACAGGATGTCTGGTCTGGAGCTTGTGGTTCTGTCCCCACCTCTGTGACTTTTGGCAAATCATAATCTCGCTGGGATTATTTCTTAGTATTAAGTGATGAGTTTTAATTAAATGCCTCCCAAGTCTTACTCTAGTCTGAAATCCTGTAATTCCGACTTTTATGCTTACTTTTGATTCATTTTCAGTGTATGTTAGCATGAGGTGTCACATTGAGAAATTTCCTTCAAACTCAAATTGGGAGGTCTGGTGCCACCCTGTGAAAGCTTGACTCGGGAGGAAGTGGGGTTGAAGGTGGTTCCGTCTGGGCCCCTGGTCAAGTTCTTTAAAATGGCTCACTTTACATCAGAAACAGACAACTCTTTGTCAACTGCCAGAAAACTATTATATAAGCACCGCTACCAATCTTAGACTTGCTTTGAAGCAAAAATGATAGTGAGGAGTTTATATTTCAGTGATTAGATCCAGATTAGATAAAGAGAAAGAAGTCAAAAGTATTTGAGCTTTTAAATTAATTCTCATGAGTTTATCTTGATGCTAGCAAAACATCCAGGACAAACATTTGCCAGATCTTTACAGACCCTATGTGTCCTCATGTCAGTGAGGTAAGATTTCAGTGATCTGGGGCTTCATTGAATATAGATTGAATATTCATTGAATATTACTCCTGAAGAGTGCTCTGATATTCTTGACTGAGTTCTACTTCTGAAACAAATATCTTGTTAAATGGTGTGGAGAAAGAAATGCGGGCAATATTTATGTCTGTTGGAAAGAAAACAATTTGGTCAGTGGAGTTGTGTGCCCCTTTATTATGCAGGCATCATAGAATCATTTCTTAGTAAGTTTCTAAATTTGTTAACTTTTCCAGTAACCTCTTGCAGATCTCAGCGTGTGCCTCTGTGTGTAGGTGTCTATGCGTCTTGTGCCTGCAGGTGTGTCTCTGGGTGCTCACGGGTCAGTGTACCGTCACCCATGGTAACTCTTAGGTGGTAACTCATTTTACATCTTGAAAGTTTCTCCCCATTCTACAGGTTTCCCACCTGTGAAGGAGACCTCAGAATTAAGGAGTCATTTCTTCATGACTCATCGTGTCAGAACCGAGCCTTGAGAGAAGCAGGAAAGGGCAGACGAAGAGAGGAAGCCATGTAGGATGGACCAACAGAGCAGGTGATCCCGGTGGTCTCACTCCAGGGACCTGGCAGTGGGTGGAGAAGGAGAAGGCTGTGGGTCCCGGGAGTCAGTGCCAGGGGAGTCAGCCCATCTGTTCATCAACCCTGTGTGGCATGCCTACTTCATGCCAGGTGCTACAGTCGGTGAAATGAACACGGAAGTTTCGTCCTTCAAGCACTGAAGGAAGGGTGGGTAAAATGGACGTGTAAACAAACCAAAGTAGATGCTAAGAGGATTGCCTCGCAAGCCCCAGGAGTTCCTGCAATGGGGCAGGCAAACGAGGGAATTTGTGGGCTCAAATAAATTGGCAAGTCAACGAGGTAGAGGCAGGTGGACTAGAGGTTCCAGTGATGCCAAAGTCCCCTCTCCCCCTTGGCCCCTCAGCCCCGTTCCCCATGTCTGCCTATAGTTTGGGATCCCACGTTCCTTTTTTCTGTTTTTAAGTATATTGAGTATTCTAGTGAAAGAGAACTTGCCGGTGTGTGCCAGATGGCTGACCGATGGTCACTTTGGCACTGTAATAGAAATGATGATAAACTGTAGGGGGGGAAACTTCTTGCATCCCATCCCCCTGTAGTATGTACCTACATATGTATGTATGTATGTAT